GCCAGGAGCTTGGCTTCCTCCTCTCTCTCTCGCTCTTCGCTCTCTCTCTCGCTCTCTCTCTCTCTCTCTGCTCTCTCTCTCTCGCTCTCTCTCTCTCTCTCTCTCTCTCTCTCTCTCTCTCTTCTCTCTCTCTCTCTGTCTCTTCGCTCTCTCTTCCTCTCGTCTCTCTTCTCTCTCGTTCCCTCTTCCATTGCTTTCTTTTTTTGTTCTCTGCTACTCTCTCTTTCTCTCCTGGTCCTTCTCTCCTCTGTCTCCTTCTCCTTCCATTCTTTTCTCTCGCTCTCTCTCTCCTCCTTCTCTCTCTTCTCTGTTCGTTTCTTCTGTCTCTTTCCTCTTCTCTCTTCTTCTCTTCTTCTCTCTCTCTCTCTCTTCTCCTTCTGTCGTCTCTCTCTTTTCTCTCTCGTCTCTCTCCCGTCTCTCTCTCTCTCTCTCTTCTTTCTCTCTCTCTCTCTCTTCTCTCGGCTCTCGTCTCATCTCTCTTTCTTCTTCTTCTTCTTCTTCTCTCTTTCTTCTCCCCCCCTGTTTTCCTACCTTCAACCGCCCCCCCTCTCTCTCTCCTTCTTCTCTCTTTCTCCTTCCTCTCTCGTCTCTCTCTCTCTCTTCTCTCTCTCTCTCTCTCTCTCTCTTTCGTCTCTTCTTCTTCTTCTTCTTCTTCTCTCTTCTCTCCCTCTCTCTCCTCTCTCTTCTCTCTCGCTCGCTCTCTCTCTCTTTCTTCTCTCTTCTTCTTCCCTCTCTCCTCTCCTTCTCTCTCTCTCTCTTCTCTCTTCTCCATCTTCTCTCTCTCGCTCTCTCTCTCTGTCTCCCTCTGTCTCTCTCTGTCTCTCTCTTTCTTTTCGCTCCTCTCTCTCTCCCTCTTCTTAACACTCCTTCCATCTCTCCTATCTCTTCCTCTCTCTCTCTCTTCTTCTCTCTTCTCTCTCTCTCTTCACTCTCTCTCTGAGTCTCTCTCGTTCTCTCGCATCTCTCTCTCTCTCTCTCTCTCTCTCTCTCTCTCTCTTCGCGGCGTCACGCCGGGGTAATGCGAGCAGCGTCGCGGGGAGAAGTTTAATTTGCGCTTGAGCCGTAACGCGAAGCCGTGACGCGCTGGAGTGGATCGCACACGGGCCGCTACTCGTGCCGACTTGCCCGCTGGGTTAATTAGAGCAATCGCAAGTGCCGCGAAGCGGCGCCAATATGTGCGCAGCGCTATATGACGAACGTATGTCGCAAGTGGCCGCAACCTAATATGAATTGAGTGGCTACTGATTGCGCTCGCCTGCGCATTACGCTGTTAGTACACCACGCTGCCGATTTCACTCGCTTATTGGCACACAATCACATACACCGCCACTCAACTAGGGTTTGATACCAAACCTATTGCACTGTCGTGCCGGTATTGGTAACAAATCAGTGGCACCACAGTGCACGTACCGACTGCCCATCAGTCTACTGCGTCACACCAGGCAGGTACTAGCGGTAACAAATTCATGGCATGACAACACAGGTAATGACTGTTATCCAATTTATTGCGTCAACCACGCAGATATTATTAATAGCATCAATCACATCTACTGATCACGAAATAATCATTTCAATACAAGTATCTGAGGGACCTCAATAGTATATGGGCTGCCTCAGTAGTATCTGGGTTGCCTCAGTAGTATCTGGGTTGCCTCAGTAGTATCTGGGTTGCATCAGTAGTATTTGGGTTGCATCAATAGTATCTGGGTTGCCTCAGTAGTATCTGTGTTGCCTCATTAGTATGTGGGATGCCTCAGTGTAATGTAGCTTTGTGGTGGTTCGGTGTTAGTGTCAGCCTTATGAGTGAGCAAACTGTGGAGTTTAATGAATTTTCCATAGAGATTCAGCTCAGACAACCTAAGCCAGGCTTGAACCAATCCAAAAGTGGAGCAACGACGCTAACCACGTTATATCTGTATAGATAAGGAGACAGTGTGGAGAAAGTATTATGCGGTATTAAATCATACCCTCTGAATACCCACTGCCATGGGTAACGGAGTCACATGCTGTCACCTATTCTTTACACCACTTCACAGGTACTGTTACACCCTTTTCTACAATATCACACAGACGCTAAGAAGAATCGTAAACAAGCCCTTACAAATACATAGGAAATATCATTAGGCGTATTTAGTTATTCATGACAAATGATAGAAATTTATTAAGTCATCTTCCTCTCTTGAGCTATTTGTGGAGCACTTTTTAATTTACACAGGGAACACTGTCGTGTTATTCGAAATGATATGTCCTTCTAAAGGACAATCAATCTGTGCTATTGACTAAAACATCAACCACACTGGAGAAGGTAGTGATAATACTTCGACCGTTCACCATTACTCTATTATAACTACGAAGCCGTATCACACGTTCGTACAAACGTCCGGGTCCGGTCGGACATCACCGCACTCATCAAAGCGCGTCGTCACACCGAGCGTCCGCCAGTACGTCACAACGTCGGGTCGTTCTTCCGGAAGACCGTCCTCGGGATCTCTCGCTTCTCCTTCAGGCTGTTTATGTGCGTCGGGTCGTTGCTCGTCAGTTCGTCCAACAGCCGATCCTCACGCTGCTCCTGGATGCTATCGCGGTAAGGCGTCGACAGGTCTCCCTTCCTCACCCACGACTCCACGTTGTAGCCGACGATGCCGATCACCGCGGCGACCGGCGCGACGATGTATGGTGCGTACGCGCGAAGACTGTTCCATAGGATGAACCACACCATGCTTGCGCGCGGTTAAGTCAACGTGCGCGGTTTGCCGCTTTCCTGTCTTTCTTCTTCACACCTTCTTTTTCTCCTCCGCTGTTTCTTCTGCGGCATTCAGCAGCGCCTCCTGTCTACGAAAGAAATGGAATACGATGACGGCACTACAAGTTGGTTAGTTGATCACTTTCATTCGATTACGTAACACTTAGAAAAACGCCCTCTGCTCCTACTGAATCGACCTCCAGTTTAATCACTCTGAGTGCATCAATACCTCAATTGAGTCACGACAAAACATCGACAAGAAATCTGGGTGCTTTTAAAGGTTTTACTTAATATGGTTAGAGAAACGTTGGAGAGCGACAGCAAGGAATACATGTGAATACTTCTTTGTATACACGCAAAGAAATTAGCGCATATGACAGCCACACTTCCAGTGTTGTTGTTAGAATCACTGCATGAACAAATAGTTGTTTCACTTGTTTTAGGTTACTCTGAAAGTAACAAAATATTCATTTGCGACACCATAGAATGAACACGGAGTTAGATGGACTACTAATCGCAGTAGGTCAATAGTAGGAATATCAGCAGCAGCATAAATAGTAACAGCAGCAATAGCAACAGCAGCAGCAGTAGCGCTGAGAGGGTCTATGTCCCCCAGGGTACTGCCGGAACGTACACCGGGTACGGTCCGGTATACCGGAACGTACCCTGGTAGTCTGGTACTAAATACTACTATCTAATATGCCAGACCGTACCTCGCCTACTCCATTAACGAGTCTAGGGAGTCGCCTACGCCTACTTCCTACCCTAACACTAACACTAACCCTAACCATATCAGCTAGATAGTTACCAGGTTACGTTCCGGTATACCGGACCGTACCCAAGGTACGTCCCGGCAGTACCCTGAAGGACATAGACCCTATGAGCAGCAGTAGCAGTAGCAATACCAGCAAAAGCAGCAGCAGTAGGAGTAGCAATTGCCACCGTACATTATGAGAAGTCTCACTAGTTCAGTGCATGGTTATAGTCAGTGGTTAACATGGATATCTTCAATATTAAAGGTTGTGAGCTAAACCCCCTAAAATAGGCAATAAATTTTCTAATGACATAGAAAACTGCGAACTGTGAATCTCTCATTGCTTGTAGCAATATTGACAGCTCCACCCAAGTGAGATAACCACACCCTAGACTTTAATTTTTTTTTTTACTATACCAGTTAAATATTGGTCATTGAATTAGTAAATAAACAAGAGAACAAGTAGACGCATAAAAATTCTCAAAATGTGACTCTAGCCTAAGCGAAAGAGTAATACTAATACGTAATAGTATTACTATTAGTAGGACAGATGGGGTCGTTGTCATATCAGGTACTACATATATGTATCCGAGGTAGTTTTAGGTTGTTTAGTATTATGTTGATATTTTTATATAGTTATGTTTAGGGTTAGGTTAGGCGTTAGGGTTTTAGGGCATAGCCACAAGGTCCCATCTCGCTTTAAAATCTACGTGCGAGGGTACTGGTTTAGGGTTAGGTACACTTCTGTTTAGACAAGTTCTGGTACACTTTGTGGTAATACATGATATGCTACCTCCGACATATCTTTAGCCTACCTGACACTGACAAACGACCCCTTCAGGCATTTAAAGTAGATCTAATTTTACAGCCTGAACACAGTGCACCACTAAGGCGCTGAGAGGGTCTAGATTGGTCCCCCGTGGTACTTGCCGGAAGCGTACGCCTGGGTTACTCGGTCTGGTATACCGTAACGTACCCTGGTAGCTATATCTATATGTGCCGGACCGGGTACCTCGCCTTACCCACTAACGACGTCTAGGGTAGTCACCTACGCCTACTCCCTAACCCTAGATCCTCAACCAACCATATCAAATAGTGCACCAGGGTACGTTCCGGGCTTATTACCGGACCATACCAGGTACGTTCCGGCAGTACTCTGACTCCCGTATGTTCCCCAGAGTGCTGTCATTCTGGGGACATAGACCGCTTATGAGCACCACTAAGGCTCCCTAAGAGTCAGACTACTGTCTGACTAAGAGCAATGATCAAAGCCATGGGTCATCGATCCAAGAAGGCTGACCTATACTTCTAGTCGTAACCTAGAAATGTAATACTATATAGTATAGGTTGCGTATCCCTTAGTATTATAACTCTAATTGTCAGACGAAGGATACCAAGAAAGGATTCAAGAAGCAGTTTCACCACGT